AAATCCGCGCTGTCCAGCCGCGGTGGAAACCAAGTGGAAAGGCCATATTAGGCGTCCGACGCGGTGCAACCACGTCGTCTACCACGAGGCATTACTGTCGTCTAATGTACGTCCAGTCACGCCCCCGCTGGCTGGGGCCCGAGGAGCGAGCGAGCGAGCCGTGGCGAAACGAGACGAAGCGTACCGAGGGGCCCCATCGGCGGCGGGCCCCCGTCGCCGATCGGCGAGATCGCGACGAGCCGAGCTCTCGCGAGGTGTTCTCGGCCGACCGGGTCGCGAAGCCGTTCGCGTTCCCCTCGCCGAATAATCTGTCAATTACACGGGGATAATGTGCTCGGACGCGTGTTCGTTCCTCGGATCGACGATAAGCCGGTGATAAGTTACGACGATCGGTTCCCCAGCGGCTCCAAAAGTGGTCTCCGCCTCCTCCGGAGTGGCCTAAGTACGTCTGAGCTCTAACTGTCATCGGTGGCTAAAGTGGTTTCCAGGTTGAACGCATTGTGTGCGGTGCGCTCGCGAGTGTGGATTCGTTTAAGTGAATGTTGAATTTTAAAGGGAAATAACGTTAAATAACGCGAGCAAAACGAGGGAGGATGTGATAGAAATAACGTATCCGTCCCTTTGTTTCTGTGCTTTTTTAAATTACGTGTCCAGCCTCGTGTTCGTACCGCGTAAAAAAAACATTGTTAAGGATAAACGTCTTCGTGATAATTGTACAGTTTTATACCTTTGTCTTCTCTTAATTATATTTATATTTAACATCACATTGGAAAATATGAGAGCAATGCTATTAATGGCATTTCTCTCTACAGTGAGAAATAAAATGGCGCGGTTACAAAAATCCATTTATTTCGCTGGGGAAACTTGTCAAATTATGCGAGTTTGAAATTCGCTCCCAGAAACGCATATGAAATACGACTCCGTATAGTAAATTCACGAGTATTTTCAAGCGCAAATGATCCTACAATTGCTTTTGAATGCGACAACGAATCTTCATCGTGTACGTTTAACGAGAAACGTAGAAAAATGCTCGGTACGAATTAAATAGGTTGGCGCCGGCACAATCGCTTGCAACCGTACGGCTCATCTTTAAGCGTATCTCGTTCTTCAGAAATGGCAACCGGATGTGCACGCCTATTCGCGTTTAAATCTCGTATTAATGCAGAGTGCTCATATTTTACGCAATCAAACGCGTTCTCTTCAACGAAATGCAAATACGGCGGAAAACAGTGCTGTTCGATCTCTTCTTAGCTTTCTATCTCTATTTCTTCACTTGCTTCTATTTATAAAACACTATATATAAATTTGCCCTTTACTCGTATCTTTAGTGTTCAAACATTTACATACATATATATATATATATGCAAATAATTTAATCACGTGTACGCTTTCTACTTTTTAGTAAATATCGGGATTATGGAATTACCGATCGGTTTAGACAATACACACTGATTTACACTTTGAACTCGTGAACGTTACTCTTCAAAACCAAATGCAATTATCTATTTCTCTTCCATTTTCTCTTCCTGAAATTGGCGTGAGTGGAGCAGTCTCTCTCTCTCTCTTTCTCTCTCTCTTTCAAGTGTTTGCGTAATCGGCAAGAATTTTGGAAAAATTATTTCTGGTTTATCGCTGGCCGGTGTAGCAACATTCAGACACACGTAGCGAATAATTTCCTCGATCGCGATATCCGATCCTGTTCGAGACGTCGCTACACCTCCGGATGTGAGCGCAATGACTGTTCTCGGGTTTTCTCGACTGTCGAAGACGGAAGTGGATGAACAGCCAGGTGCGTAGTTGCATGTGCATTCACGCGATCGGCGAAGCGATCTTCCGTCCCATGCGCGTATCATCCTCATCGCGTTTTATCATCTCGTCTTTAAACGAGCGGAGTTGAACTCCGTCGGATGTCTTTTGTTGTCAAATTGAATTTCTCAGCGCGTGGATGCAAGTTGCCGGTTGTTTGCCGTAAAATTATTCATGAAAACTCGTGCGTATATCTGCGACGGCATAGGAACTTGCATCGCCGAGTATGGAAATTTTCTTCCTGGGCCGGATAGCCGGCAACGCTTATTGGTATTCTACTCCTTTGCTAGTCTATCGCTATTCTCTTGCACGATTCATTGTTCGTACCTGATCCGACGTGGCGAACGAGACAGAGAAAGAAAGAGTGAAACCGGAGAAAGAGAGAGAAAGAGAGAGAGAGAGAGAGAGAAAGGGCGGGGAGAGAAGAGAGAGAGAAGGGGAGAGGGAATAAGTAGACTGTATTTCATTATTGCAACACGTGAAACCGCGCGGCGTTTGGCGGAATAAATTCAAGAATCACTTTACACGCGTAAAACGAGTACCGTAATGCTTATCGTTAAAGAATAATTGATAAGAATGAACTCGCTAATGAGGATTTGGAATGAAGAAGCGAAAAATTAAGAAGCGACAGGGGAAGAGACTAAAGATACCCCGGCCACTTTATCGCGAGAACATTGTGGAATTATAAGCGCACCGCGCTTTGTCGCTCGGCCCGGTGTGACTTACGATCGGTTGCATTGGCGCGATTTTTCTCAGGTGCCCCGACGAATGGGAGTCGAGCGCGTACCTGGTGGAACACCCACGAGACACGAGCGCGAAACGCTGTTGGCACCGCGCGGCGAGATGTAGCAATCTTTCGTGCACGGTACGTCGAATCTTTTTATAACAAAAGGAGCCTAGATACGGCCGTCCGTGAGTCACTGTCGTCGCTGGCATAAGCAATCAAGTCGACGTAGTCGTGTTCCGTCGTCGGCAGGCTCCTTTTTTCCGCGCATCCCACGGCGATTTATCATCCGGTCGATTAAACGCTCGTTGAAAACTCATTTCAAATCCAGGAGGAGACAGATTGTCCCTCGTAGTGATTTAATATGATCACCCCCGGTGTGTGGCGAACGATTTCGGCAAAAAGATAGGTATTACCGGTGTCGAGCCGTCTTCGTTAGAATCGAGATATCACGAGGTTCCATCCACTTCGCATCGCAATTATTAACTGATCGGCCGGTAAGGTATTTTGTAACGTTCTGAAAAAATGGTTAAGAAGATTTGCGAGTGTATCCGTCGAGATTGAATAAAGTCAGCAATTAATTGCATAATTGCGGTCAGTTGCGTGACATTTGAAGTAAATGTCGGATTATATAACGTTATAAATAAATGCGCGCAGACGTTCGTTCTCGTCTATAACATTCAACGCGCTTATCAACATAATTGATTAATCATTAGCTAATTGCAAATGTACGAAGATGTCGAGTGAACTTTACAGATCCTCGTATCAAACGGGGAGTTCTTCGTTTCTACACGGACAGAATTTTCCCTGAAAATCGTGCACTCGTGGGACAACGTGGTATTTTGAAGACCTTTATGAGAGTTTTGGAAATTTTACCATACATGTTACTAGTAAAATGTATGGTAACATTTTGAAGACGTTTGTCAGACTTGTTTGAAATCTTACCGTACATTCTACTAGTAAAATGTATGGTAAAATTTTGAAAGCGTGAGTTTTTTGAAATTTTACCATACATTCCAGTAGTAAAATGTATATTAATTATGTACACTAATTGTAAGTGTAATTACTAGTAAAATGTATGGTAAAATTTTAAAAACGTGAGTTTTTTGAAATTTTACCATACATTCTACTAGTAAAATATATGGTAAAATTTTGAAGACGATTGTGAGAGTTCTTAAAAATTTTACCACACATTTCAATAGCAAAATGTATACCAATTATGTTATTAATTGTAAGTATAATTACTAGTAAAATGTATGGTAAAATTTTGAAGACCTTTGAGAGGTTTTTGAAATTTTACCATACATTCTACTAGTAAAGTGTATGGTAAAATTTGGAAGACGTTTGTGAGAGGTTTTTGAAATCTTACCACACATTCTCCTAGTAAAATGTATAGTAAAATTTTGAAGTTTCGTGAGTTTTTGAAATTTTATTTATTTTGAAATTTCAAAAACTCTCACAAAACTTTAAAATTGTACCATATGGCAACATTTAAAAAAACTCATAAAATTCTTCGAAATGCTATGGTGTCCCACGATTACGTGACTTTCGGGGTAAATTTTAAGAAAAATTCTGTCGGTGTACCTTTATGCCTCTGACTTTTAAATCTACCGTTTAAAGGACGAAATGAAGCGATCGAGGCCGAACGTTCTCGCGAGACCGATCGCGATTCGCGCACGTATCTCGCGCGCGTATCGCGCGGGCAAAAAATTTCGTTAATGCGGCAATTAACAGCGCGCTCGACGAGGAAGAAAATCTGGCGGCGCGCGACTTTTGCGGCCGCTCGAGTGTGATGAAACGGTTGTTCATGGCTGGAGGAGAACACGGCACGTCACGTGCGTCAGTTGCGTGAGTAAGTCCTGGCCATTAAGTCGCGCGACGACGGCGACGAGGGACGGCGAGACGGTGTGATCGAGATATCGCGGCTCGTAAGCTCGCGCGTTTCTGCCGTTCGATGAATAATCGCGCTCGCCGATACAAATAACGTATATACGTGCGAGCGGCCGTTAATTACCCGCGCTCTCGGCTGAGAGCAAACAATAATTAAGCGTAACTACGTGTGTAGGCGATAAAATCACGCGTCGCACTTGGCCGCGTAAAATCCGACGCGGCCGAGAGAGAAAGAGAGAAAAGAAAATAGTTAACGCTTGAACAGCGTTTCGGTATGTTCGGTCCCTTTTGTTTTCGTTGGACAATCGAGAAGGATATAACTTATTTGCGATCGGTGAGGTACCCGTCACGCTATAGCGTAAAAATAACGTAAGACAATTGTCAAGTGCGGCTAAAGAAACGGCATCTTCATTTAGCGCAGCAGTTCTGAATATTCTCTTGAAAAGGCTTCACCAGTGCCTTTATTAGCGAACGTCTGCTCCGCCGCGCGGCCGCGACGTTCTCCGCGAAGTTGCGAAGTTCGGCGCGGCGGGCAACGAGGATACCTCGGGATCTCCTGCATCCGGCTTTGTGTTCGCAGGAGGCTGAAGGCTGGTCTACAGTACCTGAGAAGAAGGGGGCTGTTCAAGGCGTCCGGCGGCGGCGGCGGCGGCAGCGGCGGCGGCGAACTATCGCATCAAGGACGCAAATGCGCGCGATGCGGCGCGTCGTTCGGTAGAATTTACAACACCGGCGCGACTTGCACGCGCTGCAGACATCGCGTGTGCCGGCAGTGTCGCATCGAGATCACCAGGAACCACGCAGGCGGTGACAGAGAGGTCGAGTGGATCTGCAACGTTTGCTACAAGATCGCGTAAGTGCCCCACCTGCGAGCCCCCCCCCCCCGCGGGCGATCGCTTCCTCGCGAGGCGCTTTTGCGAATAACGTCGGACGTCGAAAACCAGTTTTCTATGTTGTTTAATGGTAATCGAAAGAAATACGGTTGTGTTTTGCGTTCACTTAGACTTTAATACCGCAGCAAACTACCCAGTGATAAATGATCGGTCGATCGATGGCGAATCGACGTCATTTGACGGTGCCGATGTCGATGTCGATTCGATTATCGTTTCGACATCGGTCGACGAATCATTTCTCGCTGGGTATCCACATATTTGAAGTAACGAGGATAATGTCTCACACATAATATGTAACAATATCTCGCTGATACCCCGATTGATTTTCATGAAATATTACTTTGTGTAAAATTTCCTGCTAAATTTTACATAAACAGCTTCGCTGATTAACGCAAATAGAACGAAATTGCGAGGGCAAGATAACGAGCGTGCGAAATACACGTGAAACTTGAATGATGTTCGAATTTAGGTCGAAAATGAAGGGTACCGCCTCTTCCGCATCGCGCGATTCTTTGTTTCCCGTGCGTGTGTCTTCGTGCGCTGACATAATTTCGACTCCGTTCAATTTGCAGAGAATTGCACGTCGTTACCAACAAGTGGATGTACGAGAGTCCGATTTCCAGCGGATCTGTCAGCGAGAAAACAGCGCGGATCCCGGTGGACATACTGAACCGCAGCATCCGACGAGCTTGGACGATTAATGGTGCGTCCCGTTAATTAATCTTCTGCCGATGACTCGGTAGAAAGTCCGAGAAAATGGAAAATGTCTTCAGCAGATAGCGAAAGCTTAATATTAGCGAGTGGATGTTAATTAATGTCACAATTACATTAATTTATGTGTTGATTTCCTATACTCATTTCCTCGTTGAAGTTCAGTCGCGATTGCTTCCGCTTCGTTTTGCATGACAGCGAGTTCACCATAAATAATTTTCTCCAAAGGTCCTCCGACACGTTGGTTGGCTGCGAGAAAGTCCCCGGAATTGCGAATATATCGCAGCCTACCGTCTCGCCATCAGGATTATCGAGATCCGCTGGAGGATTCGCGCTTCGACGACGGAACGTTGTCGAAGCTCGAGAATTCGCGAAAGAGTTTGGACGCGAGGGACTGCGCCGAGGACACCGGCGACAGCTGCAGAGATGTAACCGAAGCGATCGAGAAAAGCGCGTCGATTAACGAACGAACGAAGCGAGAAAGACCGACCGTCAAATCGGAGGACGAAGTGCCATCACCGGATAGTATAAGATTTAATAAGAGAGGCGAGCGCTCGGCCAAGGAGCAGGAGGATCCTGCGCAGGAGCAGAGCACGCCGAGGATATCGCTTATAAAACCGCCGAGGATCCTCGCGAAGCTCGTGTCACCCGAGACGAAAATAAGTCCGACGAAGCATGGCGAGAGGAAATCGAATATTCCCATTTTTAAAAGGAGCTCCAAAGAGTTCGAGGATATCCGGAGCCCGCAGGAGTCGCCCAAGCGATCACTTATTCCTCAAAGGTATCGTTTGCTTCTTTCTTTCACGGGTAGTGAGTACAACTAGAATTTTATCAATGAATTGGGCCGAGAAGTGAACCTCTCGTATATTCATAATTTAAGTAATACCGAAGGTCTGTCTTTAACGAGTCACTCGGAAGCGAGAGATACATGTAAAGTCATTAATAAATAAATAAAAAATCTTAGTTATTGTAAATAATTAGGTAGACATTTATTTTTCATTTTTGAAGTTCATATGGTTCATATAAATTATGACGTGTACACTATATTTCTACTATCATCCTGTAGATACAGAGGAAGCACTGATGATCTGCGTCGCAGTCGCGAGGACATAAGCGTGCCAAGCTTGATCCCGAAACTGTTATCCTCCCGCAGCAAGGAGGAGCGATTAAAGCGGCAAGACAGCAAGGACGACATTCGTCACTTATCGAGATCGGCGCGAAAAGATTTTAAGGAAGAGAGCAAGTTATCGTCGTTTGTCACTTCATCGACGTCCGCCAGCAAGGACGAAGTCTGCAAGCCGGGAATAAGGCTCTTTCGCCGTGAAAATAGTCGCGAGGACGTGGGCAGGGACTGCGCGAATTCGAGCAAAGAGCCCGCGAAAGGAAAGCAGCAAGAGAAGCAAGAACGAGCAGAGGTTGTGGGCGCTGCGGCGAGATTGAAAGCTACCGGCGAACAGATCAGGACAAGGTGCGAGGACGGCAAGGACGACGCCAACGACGCCGAAGGATTGCCGTCGAGGAGAGAGGAGGCGATTGCCTCGTTCGAACCGGACTCGACAGTACTAAACGCCCGACTGGACGAGAGGCCTGATGCGGAACATCAGGACGCGAGGATGATCGACATGATCATCACGGAAAACAGGACGCAGGACGAGCGAATGCGGGAGCAAGACACGATGGTTCTAGGCAACGAGGCGATAGACGAGAAGCATTTGTTGGCGACTCGAGAATCGATCGAATCCGTTGCGGAGAACGATAAGGGACAGGACAACGACGAGGAGGAGACGCGGGACACTGCCGAGCAGTTGTTGGACGTCGGCAGCGACGGTGACGTCACCGGAATCGCCAGTGAAAGAAAGGGCTCGCTGGAGATCGGTTATGGAAAGAGGCCGGACGAGTTCCAAGTGGTCAGTGAATATGTTTGTGTATTGTTTGTGATACGTGGGCGCAATACACGCGGACGAATCCGCGTGCGCGCGCGCGTGTGTGTGTGTGGAGGTGTCACCGGCATCTTTTGCGAAACATGAGCCTTCTCCTGAATTAAATATCTTCACATTTCAATTTTGACTTTCACTTTCATTAATCCGATGTAGAAAAGGTATTATTTAATAACAAAAATCTGCGTATTCAATATTTAACACGAATTTAACAAAGAATTAAACATTTTATATTTTACTTATCAGTTGTTATTTTCATATGAATAATTTTTTGTCAAGTTATATCGAGTATAAAACACTTTTCCGATTCTTATATACGAGTTTTGACTTTTATTGAAAGTTTGCTATATATTTTATTTTATTTTATTAAATAACATTGTTTCTTTGTAGACAATTTTTTAAGACGTATATTTTATTCTTCTAACCGATTTTGTCTTTTTACAAATTTATTCTAAGCATATAAATATAGAAAATGAAGAACAAAATCATTATTATTCCGTCGCTTATGCAAGAAATGACGAAGTAATAATTAGTTTCTGAGAAGCTGCAATCCCATTCATGAAAGTGCTGATTACATATTTATGAACAGCCGTCTAAGGAAAGAGAGAAGGCTCTCGCGCTTGATTTTACTATATATGTATTAGTATTCGTGACTATCGAGTTGCTTAATATACCAATTCTAACGATATTGTCATGCACATACTGTTCTTTAAGCAGATACGGCGAAAGTTCTCTAAAGAAGAATTCTCAAATCCGGACGACACCGATGAGACTCCGAATAAGCGTTGTTCGAGTGTAAGTTAATCCTATCATACAAGCTTTGTTTAATTCATATTTCGAAAAACTTTTAATCAAACGATTATCAACCCGTTTAACAACAACAGTAATACCAGTTATACATTTAGAATTTACTCCTTAAACACGTATAATTGATTATATAAGATTGCAAATGTTTCTGTTGATTATATATATTTTACAAAATACGACTGTTCTGTCGTTGTACTTGCGAGCACGAAATTTTGCAGGAGATTGCTTTTAACGGAATTACTGTTTTATTAACAGCATCTATCGCCGGAAGCCAGTCCATTGAGCACAAGATCGTCGAGGTACAGTCCTCGGGAGAGCGAGAGCGAACCCACTCCTGCATTGCCACGTAAAACCGGAGGAGACTCCTGTTCTGCCTCCCAGAGGATACGCGATGCTATTACGAGGACCAGGAGAGAGTCTAACAGTAGCGCCAGATACGAGAGTAGCGGTAGCGAGAGCGTCAGGTGTGTTTATTCATGCATCTCGGCAAAATGAAGAATGACCTTAATATAACAAGAAACGCATTCGTGTGTGTACTTTTTCCTCTTGTTTCTTTTTCCCTCAAGAAAGAAATTCGGGTTTAAAGCAAAATAATATAAATTTTGAGATGCGAAACTCTCTCTGAAATCAGACGTTGTAATTTTACTTTGTCCCTACCATGTAGATTAAGCGAGACCGGTTTGCATGGATACGCGGAACTGACGAGGAAGGTGAAGTTCTTCGGAGGAAGCAGCGGCGTGGTTTCGTCGACGATCGGTGGCGACGAGGTTGTGCAACGCGACAGTGCAACCAGTGCAGGCGAGGATGAAATCAACGAAGATGGTCACGACAGAGCGGGTCCAGTTCCTTCGCAAGGGAGGACGATGCTGCGACGAAGGAGGCAATTCGATGCTCAAGGTAATTATTTATTTTGCAGTCGTATCCCACGTAAATTTATTGAAATATGCGTGTAAGTTTTCTTAAGGATTACAACAGTAATCTTTATGTAAGAGAATTAACCAATTATTTATTTATATGATTATTTAAACGAATTGCGGACCGAAGAAAATTAACCGAAGTTTCCTTTTTAATCGTTTAATTATATCGAATATAATTTTGTTCATTGGTAATGGAAAGAGTTTTAGTTTTGTTTGTTTTCTCGGCGTTATTTGCATTTTCAAAAGGCGTAGCTGTAATTAATAATAACGTGCAGTGCAATTATCGCATGGTAATCAAGTATCGCTTCGCTTTCGCGATCGCCTGGCCGCGTATTGACCGCCAATAATTGCCATAATTGGCCAATCGCGTGCTCACGCGATTCCCAATTAAATTCTCGATGTATGTTTTCATTTTTATTGCGACAATCGCTCGTAAACGACCGGGAAAAGTTGCGACATTTTCCTCCGTTAATAAATTTAGAAAGAAACAAATTCTCCTCGAGTCTTATATTTAAATTCATTTCACGTGCACGGCAGACGTCTAGATTAATTAATATCGATAAAATCACATATACCATATGAGATTAATAAGATAATTCCTTAATGAGACAATCTCTCATTCAGATAAAAATTCTACGATCTGGACTTTTATTTATTAAATTAATCGGCATAAAAGTATTTCTTTTTTGTTCGTTTACATATGTCGATTCCGTAATTCCATTTACCGTAACGCAGTATATCTAAATATATAAAGAACGCCATATGGCCACCCGTAACGATAAGCTCATCGATTATTGAAACCCCCGGGCACACTTCCTAGTTCGAAAGCAGCCAGTATTCTCCAAGAAAACCGAACGGGACCATCGATGTCCCGAAAGTTAGGAGACGCGTATGAACCGTGAGAAGAGACTCGTTTCCGGCCCGATATTGAGACCCAAGTGTCCCGCGGTAGTAAAATCGTATCTAGTTGAAATTACGTAGAAAGTTACGGAATACAATGCCTCATAAAACTATAATTAACGCGGTACCGGGTGAACATCGCTAACGAAAGAAAAATGACAACAGCGAGGGAAGGAATAATCAATGGCGCGTCGAAGAAACGTTCCAATTGATTTTTGTCCATCTCAAGAAAGTGTTGCTGGTTGATCTTGTACAATAATGTCTCGGGGGGGAAAATCGACGTTTTCGCTTGACGTTAGAGCGTTCTCTTCCCTCCATTGTTTCCGATGAAATCTCCGTTTCGTTTCCGATAAGCATCGCGTTTCAAGCAGGAACATTAAAAAAGCAATTACCCTTAATCTCGTATTTCGTCCGTCGCGAGAGATTCGGTGGAATGTGAAAGGAATGCACTCGACGTTTAATAGTGCATAAAACGCTTGACGTGCATATTCCGAATCAACGCCGGTCTTCGTGATTCAAGCACGCCCGCGATTTCGCCCGGTATCGAGAAGCGATCGTAAAATCTGAGTCGGACGCGAATCAAATGACTCATTTTACTTCGTAATTCTCGCACTGTCGATTTGCCTCGAGGTTGTGTGCCTTCCGCAAACATGGAGTTATTCAGAGCACTCCAATTGTCACTCACGTTTCTATTGTCGATGTACTTTCTCATTTTCTACACTGGGATCGTCGTGGTTTTGTACCTGCTGTGGACGAGAAGCGATTAGCAACTAGTATCAAAATGTGACGGCACTTGTTTCTTTCTTCGTTAACTTTGCCCCGCAAGAAACGTTAATTTTTTTCCCCCGAGAACGAGGCAGAAAATAGACAAAAGGTACGCACGAATTGTTTAAATAAATTTGTAAAGCTAGCGTAGACTTAACATCCAACAGTTTTTATTCGCTTACGGCGTATCAGGTCTCGCTTTGACCACGTTCCTCAACTTTGTCCGGTATCCGTATCCTTTTCGCTAATTCGTTCATTGTTATCTCCGCTGCATCGTTACGTCTGAAATTTATGGTAGCTTATTATCGCCACGTTTCGAGCATAGTTCGCTCATGAATCTCAAGGTTCTCGTCCCAGATTCCGAATAAAACTCCTATCTGCCCATCTCTACCGTCCATTCTTGCCCGAGTATGATCGTTTTGGCACGGAATCATCCGTACGTGGCGCGACGGCGAGCGAAGCGGTGGGCAGCAGGTGAGGCGAAGCGAAGCGGGGCCCAGGGAAACAGCATAGGAATAATAGTGTAACAACGTTCCCTGCTGGCACTCTATAGTCCGCTCACCTGCGACGCGAATGTACTGGGTGTCGCGAAATCGCCGCTCGACGGGCGACGAATATTAAAGAGTGGTGGAACCGCGCGATTCCGAAGCGTGATTATGCTGGGTTATAAAAAGAGTCGCGAGACCGACCTAATTCTGTTTTCAAAATCTTCTTTGGATCGTGCACCTTAGTCCGTGCCAGAAACAAAAAAAAACGACAGATATGCTAATTGATTTTTTTTTATAAACTGCTCTGAATGGAAGCTCAATTTTATGCTCTAAGATCTCTGTGCTGCTACACTCGCGGACCTCTCGAAGGTGCGTCTTTTGGACCGGCGGGTCTTCGGGATATCTTTACCGCTCGCAATCGTTGAGCGGCCGGGAATTATTTCAATTGAAATAGGACCGCGGGCAAAGGGAAAAGGGCACGAAAGTCGGCAGTTTATTTTATCGAGCTGCCCACCCGATATAGCACGGCGCAATGCACTATAGCGTCGGGGTACTATAGGCGTCGTAGTAAGGTAGTGACCGACGCCGCGCGGGATTCAGGTGTGCCCCTCGGCGTAGACGCTCTCAGTTTAGCGGCGGTAGCCCACGCGAATCGCTCGCCTTGCCTTCTTCGAGTTGGCGTGGCGACCGAAGCCGCCTTTATTTCGCGACAAGGAAAGAGAATCGAACAATTCAATCCCCCGGCGTTGTCGGGTGTCCCGATTTTTCCCGACGATTGAAAGTGGCAGCCGAACGTTCTTCAAGCCGGTTTTACACATATCGCCGGATGATCAATAAAAGAAAGAATACAATTCGATAAGAAGTGTTGAGAAGATACCTGTATCTTCGTCAACATGTAAAAGTGAGTTTCCTTTTTTTTTTATTAAAGGAAGTATTCTTTAAAAAGAAGAGTATGCAGTTTTACTGAAAGTATAATACTTTGCTACGAAATAACGATATCGATTAAAAACTATCTGTGTAGTTTTTCGTGCACATTAAAATTATATTTTTAACTCGTACGCAGTCGCTCATCTTTCCCCGCGCTGTGAAAGAGAAACAGTGATAACAAATTATAAATTTTGTGAAAATCTCTCGGTTTCTCAGTTCTTTCTTGAAAGATTCCTTGGGTTTCTACGTGTGTGGTTTCGTTTGCTTTCAAATGTGTATATGTGTCTTCGTGTACGGATGAACCATTGTCGACGACGACAAAAAGAGCAGATAGTTGAAAAATCTGAGGTGGGACTGTTTGCGAAGCACCGGCGTCGTATTTCGGAGCGTTGACAGCCTAGCGTCAGAAACCTTCGGCAGAACGTTTGCAAGGTTTTCGCGAAAGTCAGGGAACGTTTTATTTGACGAATTTGGTGTCGACCACTTTTTCGCGAACAGTCACCGCGCGATCACGCTCCACTTTGAATGTACGCAAAAGAAAAATCGGTCATATACTTTCTATCGCAATAACAAATTTGCAAAAACTTAGATAAGATTGGATAAGATTAAATTGAAAGCACAATTGTTATGGATTCATGAATGAAATATAAACTTCAATAGACTTCTTGAATTCAAGCAGGAATCGAAGAGATTATAGATAAATGTGTTTAACGCGGAATAATTTATTTGCATGTATAACATTATGTGAAGGTATATATTGTACTACCAATTTCTTGATCTCTTCTTATCGTATGCTATTTTTTTAAATTAATAAAATACACCGCAAATATAAATAAAATCGCAGACGTATATGGAAGATACTTTCAAGTATCAATCAATTTCGTATCGACATTTTTAATTATGAAAAAAATGCAATTCTCTGCGAACGTGAAAAACGATTTTGCCAAAGTTAGCCTTGCTGTCGATAATATTTTAACGTAGAAAAGAAATATTAATTGCTCTGTCAGGTAGAAAATTACAATTTCTCGAAGTTAGGCCATTGTTAAATTCTACTGCTCAACATTTCAGTACTCTCGTGTCTCCGAACTAAAATATATTTTCGTTTAAAGTAGATCACATAAATTATAGACTTACATCAGTTTAGCACCGGCAATTGTAGACTTCAAGTATGAATTAAACCTGCAATTTATATGAAGACACGATTTCATATTCAAAGTAAATGTTACGAATTACGGACTTATCTAACTCTAGCGTTGACAGGCTCCGGCACAAAAATGAGAGCAAGTCGTTCTCTGTACAATAAAATCAGTTTCAAATTTTAGTTTTAGCATCTGGGTATTTTATAAAAAATTATCTCTCTCGTTGTTTGTCGCTTATTTAATTTTTATTATCGTCAAAGGCTTAGATGTGCGATCACCGCCGTTCCCACTTGAAATCGGAGCCCGGAAATCTCTCTTTCATTTGGCCTGCCTTTTTCATCTTTTTTTTTTTCTTCTTCTTTCCTCCCGTCTCGCTCTCGTAATGCCATTCATGAGGAGTCAGGAAGGCCCGGTTGGTGGCAACAGCGCGAGGGGTCCCGCGGAAAAATCATACGCGCGGTCAGAAACGATGGGCCCCCCTCGTGCCATTGACCAGGTAATTCAGCGGCGCGTAAAAAGCAGACATAAAAGCGCACCAACAGAATAGGCCCCCGATTCTTCTCTCTCGCGCCCCATTCATGATAAGCCGCTACAACACTTGACCGTGCTCCATTTTTTTCTTATCGTACGCTCTTCAGCTTTTACCGCGTAGTACCGCCAAATTCGAGGTACAAATTTCTAAGTAGAATAGAGATTCGAGTTACACGCCGAAAGGAGACATTTCACCCGGTATATTATTGTAGCACGAGGTATAAATGTACGAGGTAACAATGAACATATAACGATCAACGCTCCATGAATTCACGGTACCTTATTTTAAGAGGTACAAAATTGTTCGTACGTGCCTCCTACAGTAGTACGAGGTAGAAATGTACCTCTAAATGTCCGTTTTCATGCCAGTTAGGCATTTGTTATACTCCTTGTCGCATGAATCACACTCGTAATCGCGTAGATAATGTACCTCCTCGAAATAAAACTCATAATTTCGGGGTACTATTTATTTCGTGGATTTTTATATGTCTCTCGTACACTGAGAAAAAAGTCTTTGACAATTTATTTCATTTATTTCAGTGAAGTAAACATTATATGCTACAAATAAATTTTCAAAGACCTTTTCCTCAGTGTAATTACGTATGATTTTTACTTTAACGTGTACCTCCAATTTTTAGCGATACATGCCTAAGAGTGTACATAAACGTGAGAAATAATTTCAAACAAACGAGCAATAAAACTAAAGATTTTAATAGAAAGACGAGAGAGAGAGAGAGAGAGAGAGAGAGAGAAAAGGAGATCTCGAAAAATAAATGCAGTTTGACAAAAACTAAGAAACTGGCTCTGGTACTTTGCTTCCCAGCGAGAAATTCTTACCACACATGGCGAAGAAAAACGACATTCTTCTCTTTCACGAGAAGAGAGGGAAGATCTGGAGGAAGTTAAAAGGAAAATGGAGAAGAGATTTTAGAAACGTTTTTACGAGGTTCGTCCGAGTTTCTCGCGAAGAAGCGCTGCCGGGACTTCGCAGTCGTTTACAGAGGCAGTCGTGAAGCGGACTCGCGCACTCGCGAAGGATGTAATTTATCTCGCGCGCGTAGTAGCACGGCCGAGAGGTACCGAGGAGGACGAATAGAACCAAGGCGGTGTGACGTGACCAAGGAGAGATTTAGACGCCGTCGCCGCCGCCGCCGCGCCGTTCCGCCGGCGCATCGCGCGCTTAAAAGTGCATTGTTTCGGACCGCACAATAGATATAAATTCAATCCTCCTACGTGCGTCGCTGACGCACGCGTGAGCGAAGTAACGAAGTACAAAGAGACCCTCGCGCACGCGATGCATTACGCCGCTCATTATCATACCACTTTCCTATCGTCATTACTATTAGTACATTGCGAATAGTCAAGTATATTTTTTCCTTCCTTCCCAGTCAGAAATGTTTCGTCGATCGACGTCGAAACGACGTCGTATCGTCGTCGAAACCGTCATATTGACGTCGATTCGACGTCGTTTCGACATCGATTGACGAGTCATTTCTGACTGGGTTGCATTCGCGCATTTGGCATCTTTCAATTAAAACGATTGGAAAATTATATTGATTTAATAGATAATCTCGGAAAGGGAACACTTGTTCGATCTTTGCTTTTAGCGAGTTAAATTGCTGATATTAAATTCTGTGTTGTATGATTATATAATCATATTACATTACATAATATTGTAATAAAATATAATTAAATTTTAATAAATATATATATATGAGACAAACGCTATTAAATTTGTAGTGTTCAGTTTTATTCAATGAGTAATCTGTTTCTACTCTGTGGTTCACGGAAAAAAACATTTAGCTGCTGTAGCTAAAACTTGGTAAAATAGGGACAGTTAATATTTTTAGTTGTGATACACATGTGCCTATTGTATTAGGTGCGACAGCAAACGGTTTGCTGTCGTAGCAAAATATTGAGCTATCACAACTAAAAATATTAGCTGTCCCTATTTTACCAAGTTTTAGCTACAGCAGCTAAATGTTTTTTTCCGTGTTTAATTGAATTAAACAATAGAGTTAAAAAAATCCGTAAAATGGGTTGAATAAAAGATGCAGTTGTTTTTTAACCACAATTTATGTTAAAATATTAAGTTTCATTACACATTATAGTTAAAAATAACATATTGAGTAGGAGCAGTGGCGACTACTCATTGAATCAAATTTGACTTATTGAGTCTCTACGAATTTAACAGCGAAATACACGAAATATGTTATTATAAAGTATTACATTTCAAAGGAATATTCATATACGCTGAGAATTCTGGAGTACTAATTTCTTCGCGATCAAATAATGAAATCAATCGACAGAACTTGAATGAACAAGTGCGCTCGGGATGTCGCATTTCAGGATTGTAATCGTTAAAAATCAGAATTTTCCAACGGTTCGTTAGCTATGTACGAGTGAACACGTTCATAACATTCAGAAGTTACTTCCGTGCTGGAGGAACATTAGCGCGAGCGAAGTTTTGCGCGTGTTCAACCGGTCGGTTCTAATGGCGTCGTAATTTGTCCACTGCCTCTAACGTAAGCGAGACTCCGTAAGAGATACTTCGCTACACCGCAGCCGCGTTCCCCGGGCTGTCGACTCTTTCAATTCTTTATTAGATCGCTATGATTGCGGCTTCATATCTGGCTCTTCATTAGCTCGCCACGCTGCTCTACAAGCTGCTATGGAATTACCATTCATATTTTTTTATTTTAAACAGCTCTTATTTCCGCGAAATTTTGTAACAGTCTGAGGCTATTAATTTTTTCTTTCTTTCACATCAATAATTTAGCTGTTACTTTGTTAATGTCTTCTTTAATCCACAAGTGCCTAATAGATATTTTATCTCAAAAGGTTGTTGCAAATGTTCATGATGCTCTAAACAATTAATGAATTGATACTCTTTTCTTACATTTTAATGAGTAAACTCAAGAGGTGTTAGATGATGAATTAGATAAACATTTGTTTCTAATTAATAGATATGTGTAAAGTCTTGAAAAATTAATGGCTGACTTTATAAGGAATTATTATCATAAAGATAAACTTAATTATGATCCTAAAAGACTGATTAATGCTATTTTCAATTTGAACTTCCAGAACATTAAAGAACTAATCGATGAAAACGATAACGGCTACCAACATTTCGATTTAGCCGATAAGTTCAATTCGTCGAAAAATTCCGTCTTTTTATCCACCTATCCTCACGATCTTATCACTCTCTCGCTGAATCAGCCGACGAAAACAAGTGAATCATAAACGAAATTGTTAAAAAAAGGTTCACGGCGACGCGGAAGATCGCACGCGAGATCTTGCTGCGGCGGCGAGGATCTGCAGAGCCTGCAGGCATTGAACCTGATCGGACGCGGGGGTGGAAGCAGTCGGCAGCGTAGTCCTAATCCCGCGACAGGTGGCCCAGGTCAGGATCAGCCATCGTCCGTGGTGGACTACAGGCGGCTGGTATTCATCAGCTCGGACTCATCGTCAGGTCGCGAAGAGGACGACGCCGATAGCAGTTGCTCGAGTTCGTCCTACCTGAACGGGCTGCCGCGCAACGGCGGTCACCACCACCATCACGCGCAGTCGCTCGAGGACTGCGACTGGGACTACTTCGAAAGCGGCTCCCTGCCGTTGCCTACGACGCCGATCGCCACTGTCGGCGCCGGCCCAACGGACACCATCGGTCAGGACGTTTGGAGCTGCTGTCCAGGACGCGGTTCCGCCTGCCAGGTACGCTTATCCTCGTATTATATCATATTAATATGCTTGAAAGAATTCAAATCTTACGATTAATAAAAGTTTTACGTATACATTCAATTAATCTGAGACAGAGAGAGGGAGGGGAGAGAGAGAGAGATCTTGTGTAATCTCCATTATATCTTTTTCTAAAGGTTCACCAAAGGTTCATATCAATATCCAATATAAATATCCTTATTTTATTATTACAATAAATCTAATACTTCAATTCTTTTAAGCATACTGTATATGATTTGTACTTAGCGATTCCTTATACTTTTCATTAATTTTTAATAAATTTATTTATTCCACTTTACGTATATTAAAATCGCTTTTTACGTTTTACGTAAAACTTCATAAATAAATAAAATAAGAAGACGATGTTAAGCGCGAAAACAGTTTTCCATGGACATGAACAAGTCATGTGACCGCGACTGGGTGCCGCTGGCTGCGCATCCGTTTGACAAACACATTGCCGCAGCTAAATTAATCATTCACGTTCTACTAGCGAAGAGAGTCGCACAGCAACTATGCGGAATTCACGGTCGCACTTTGTCAATATACTCGAGCATTCGTATATCGAGCGACGCCTCACGTTGATTACACCGATCGATAACCGCTTCGTAGCGAATTGTCAACGTCAGCTTTCGCGAGTTGTTAACCCATTTTTCCATTTATGCTCGCTACAAGTAGAACAAATTTATGGAAAACAAAAGATTTAATTGATTTAATTTTGTGCACTATTTAAGACTTTAATTACATTATTTAAAATTTAAATTGCAAAGAAAACGCATGTAAATGCAAACTAGCGAGAAATTGGAGGAATAAAATAGACTTATCGTTGGTCAATTTCGAATCATGTGTGTACCTAACAATAAATTTTAAATTTTTGAGAGAAATAAAAGAGCGAAAGCTAAAGTTCTTTCAAGACAAAAAAAATGTTGCGACCCATTATGCTGTCGTTCTATCCAGGCCTGCGGCGGTTCCCGAAGCGCAAACGTTCTTCCGGTGCCGGTACCCATACCGGTCCCGGTTCCGTATCCGGTACCGGTACCGGCCGCCCTGTGGACCGGCGATTTTGCGGCGGCTGCATCATCCATGATAAGTCGCGGCGATGGTCACGCGGAGCCGGGATCTCTGAGGCTACGAGGTGACCCGGCGGCACCTTGGTTTGCTTGGCACCCTCGATTCAACCAGCCCCTTCATGGCGCGCGTCTGGACCCGCGGCTCGCTGGCACCTTCGATCCCAACACCTGCACCTTTCGTCCGCCCGATCAGGTGTTGACCCCGAGATTGTACGGTCCGATTACTGAGACAATAACGACCTCATCGACGAATCTCGAGCCGCCTCAAATAGGTCAAGATGTGAGAGACGAGGCGAACGTTGCATCGAAGACTGAAGAGCTCAGGAAGGAGGAGAATTTGTCGACGAAGGACATCGGCGAATCTGGTTCGTCCACTACCAAGAATAGAAAGAAACCAGAAGAAACGAAAAATAGTGAAGCGGAATGCAAGAAAGGCGAGGAAGAGGCAGAAAGGATAAAAGGGAACGAAGAGGCCATTTGTGAAGATTCGTTAGCGTCATCCTTCGAGAGAAACGCGCAAGGAATGTATCAACACTCACGAGAGGACTCGGGCAGCTCGTCCGGGAGATCGTCGGCGGACAGCAGCGATCTGGAAGAGGATTCCGGCTCGCACAGGTTCTCCAAGGTGTTTGTAGTGAACGACGATTCGCTCACCAGCGACAACGATATCGAGGACAATGAAGAAGATGATTCGGATTCCGCGGCAGAAGGCGGCGTGACCTTGAAACGCGTCACTGCGATTCCTGAAGAGGAACCAGTGGTGTTGCAACATGTGAGGCTATTGAACGAAGATGTGCTCACGGAGAACGAACAGGAAGTAAACAAGAACAAACTTGAAGAACCCAAAAGGCGTTTCAAGACCTATATCGGCAACGATAAGCACAAAAGCAATGATAAATTATTGGATAAACCTGTCGCTAATATGATTGATAAACGAAGAGGTCGCAATAAGAAAACCGGAACTGACAACAATGATAAACGGCTTCCCCTTTTACTGCAACATCGATCAATCCCTGAAGAGCTATATCTTGCAGATGATAATGATTGTTCTGATAATCGAATCGAATTGAAGTCCATCAGGATGCTCGATCCCGATAGTATCGATCCACCTGCAGGAATCTTGAAAATGGACGTAAAACCTGTTTCGAAAATACAGATCTGCTCCGAAACTGTCCATGCATCGAAGAAGACTTTGCAGGATGGCCTGATCGAAGGTCCAAAGTCACCCTCGAGCGACGCCTGGGATCCGACCATCGTACCAGATTCACTCGAAATATCTGGAGTTTCCCCTCTTGAAATTTCAGCTCCTGGAGAGACTGACGTCGACAAACTTGGAGTTTCCGATAGCGATAAGATTGCACGATCGATCGCGACGACTGATTACGAGAAGCAAGGAGATAAGCAGCATTTATCGGAGGCAGAACGTTCGAACGTTGACGTCATTGCCGATGCGTCTACTGACAGCTGCACCAGCAACGAGAGCAACACCACGGGTAGTGAGGTGAGCAGCGACGAGCTACACGAATACGAGGTGACTCCGATCGAGTCATCCTTCAATTACAGCATCGAGGTCGCCGCGATCAACGACGAATTACTATACCAAATCGGCAAAAAGAAAACGGAAGATACTTCGAGAGGCATCAAGGAAAACGGTTATCTTCTTCGTGGTAATCGTGATGACAAAACAAGTTCAACGATGACGAAGAATGGCGTCAAACGGAGCGTGCAGTCCGAGAGACCGATCAGCGGGCGGTCTTCGATCGAGTCGATGATCGGCGCGAAGGACGACAATGACGAGGACGAAGACGAAGACGACGATGAGGGCTATCGCTCCGTTACGTGTCGTCGGGGCGGTCAAGATGGCGGGTCAGGAGACAACGACCCGACGGCGGCGGCAACGGGTGAGGAGCGGATACAAGCCGACGTGGGCGACGCGATATCAAGCAGCAGGATCCAGGAGATGATGAGGAGCGCGGAGGAGCAAGACGGCGACGGCGGCAAGGTGGACATTGCGCATGACGGCCCGGTGAGAGGCAAGATCGCCGCTCAGGTGGGAGGAAATGGTGATGGTAACGGCGTTAGTGGTAGTGGTGAATGCTCCGAGGAGGGGGACGCGACACGGTTTCGCTCAGTCGACCGACGCCCGTGCACTCGGCAGGAGAATGGATTCCCAGCTGACGGCCAAGCGTCGGCCAAGGACCTCGCCAGAGACACAGCCCAGCACAATACCAGTGGCAGCAACAATAAGTATAGAAGCCTCGTGATGATTACCCAGGAAGCGTCGTACCAGCCGGTGAGTGTCGTCACGTCGGACACCACGACGTTACTCCAACCGGATGAGATCCATTCGGCTGGGAGCCAGAGAGGCCTGGCTGGCTACTTCCAGCTGGCATTGGAGGCGGCGAGCGAACCACAGCTTCATCGTAAAAACGCTCCACGCAAGCCGCTGATGGTGAAGAGGCTGCCAGCCGCAGTCGCGGTCTCCGCCGTCACGACGAGTCATCAATCAGCCGAGCCTGAAGCGGATAGTGGGTTGAGTGTCGGTAGCGCTAGTGAAAGCGACGACGTGTCCGTAAAGAACGTGCCGAAGCCGCTCAATTGTCGGCAGGAGAATGCGGAGAATGACGTGTCGAAGGATCGCTCGGCGTCGGATTATCGTGAAGGTGCGCAACTACGTGTCTCGTCGCAGTCTAGCGATGATAATTCGGGTACTGGTGGCGTTATTATACTCGAAGAAGGTCTGGCCGACGATGATTCCTGGGTGGAAGAAGTGTCCCACGATGAAGACGAGCCGGGCGCGACCACTGCCACGGAAGAGAGTTCCGAAGATGAAGCCAATAACTTCGGGGATCGTGAAGAAGAGCTCAGGGGTTACCGCAGGCAGGCGATCGACTTCACCTTGCATACTATTGTCGAGGAATCCTGTGAGGAGAGTGAAACGGAGCCTAGTCTGGCTGCGGGAAGTCCATCGAAAAAGCCGAGACCACCTTCCGCTTCGGAATTGGAGAAATATTTCTTTTTCGGATTGGGAGGTGACGGAAATAGCTCCAGTATGGGCTCGCGTGAGGTCGACAGTTTGTCGGAAACCTCGTCGATTTATTCCGAGGGATTGGAGTCGCTCGGCCAAGACGAAGCTAACGGCAGTGGTCAAAACCAGGACAGGTCGAATAACAGTGACGGTTTCCTAAATTCTTCCAGATTGGAAAAGTATTATCTATCAGAATTCCTCGGCTTCGATCAGGATAGAAGAGATTCCGATGGTTCGGTAGGAAGTGATTCCGAAGGCAGACCCAGTCCAGAAGCGCAAAGAAGAAAGAAGCTAGTGCGTGCGAGAGGTACAGGCAGATCTCACAGTTCTTCTCTGGACAATCTGTTGGCTCTTACGCAGAGCTCGCAGAACCTAAGTTCACAAAATTCTCTTCAAGATTTGAGCCTTAATCAGGACGTGCAAGAGACTCAGTCTGAAGGTTCCTCCACGGAGACTGATGGTACCGACGACGGCCAGACCGCTGTATTTGGCACGGATGGTCAGTTCGACACGGTAAAACGCAAGAAGAAAAAGCCGCGAAACCTGGGAACTCAAAGTCCACGCGTGCCAGACGATCGGAACAAGACGCCGGAACCCAGCAGAGAAATGGCACTGATGAACGAGGTTGTGATGGAAAATGAAAACGAGGCGATGAATTCCGAAGACTCGGACAGAGCGAAGACCCCGCAGCCGGAATTAGTTCTATCTTCATCCTCCTCGCCGTCCACACTTACGAGCAATAGTAACGTACTGAACGCAGCCTCGTCCTCGCAAATGGATTCTTCAAGAAACTCGGTTTCGATGAATTCGAACGACGGTCAGCGATCGAAGCAGCAATCACGGGACTCGGGCTTCGTCGGCAGCTGTGACGATCTTCTTCAGCATCAAAAGTTACCGGACGAGAGTCAAACCAGTAGCACCGAGGTTAATCAAGAGGCTGGCAAAGATCGTTTACTTAATAAAACCTCGGAGTATCCTCAGGATGCAAATCAGAACGCCACTAAGGACGGAGCAGTCGGCAAAAACAACTTGACGAAACATCCAGTGAATCACACGAGTTTGCCGCATCTGGCGAACGCCTCGCTGTCGCGCAAGGACAGCTTTAACAATTGGTCCAGCGATGAGGAGACGAATCTCATGATGTCCAAAATGCGGCAGTTCTTCAAGACGATGGTGGCCAACTCGAACGGCCAGGGACAGAACGCCACCAGCGCGAATTCCGGCGGCGTCTCGCCGGCGCCGAGTCCTCGGCTACCGGGTTATACCTCGAAAGCGCGACTTTGCGTCCAGAATCGCACCAAACCGCCGCAGTTAGTGTACTTCGAGAACGAGCTGACGCGGCTGATGAAGACGGTGCCGGGAATACGCGACGAGCAAGTGCGAGAGATTGTCGAGTATCTCAGCTCGGAGGACACGTGGTCGGATTCCTACGACAGCTCGGATTATACTAGCTCCGATCTCGAAGGCGCCGCCGGAGGTCGCAGATCGGCCTTGCAGGAACAGATCTCGCAGAGCTGTCAACAGATTATCAGCAAATTCGACACCACTTCCGCTGGCGGCGACGCGACTCTATCGGATAAGGAGAGGGAGCAAATTAAAGGGCCGCTGCCGGGTTCCGCGATGCAACCTGCACCCTGTCTAGGTAGGGATACCGCCTTCGTCTATCAAAAGCTAGTGCAGAGCTTCACGAAGATGGCCGGTGACGGCGTGAGTTCAGACGCCAACTCCACGCCGCACAGTAGCCCGCCACTGATCGCCAAGGTGATGCATCACATCGGTAGCCGGCTAGTAGCGCTGATGCATGAAGTCTCGGAGGGCGGACCGGCCGCGCATCATCACTCCACTACTTGGCGACGGTATTCTCAGCATCATCGGACACCCTCTTCGGCGTCCACCACCGAAGACGATGACTCGACATCTGACTCCACCAATGCGCCTTCATCGGCACATTTGCAGCTGCCGCGGTCCAAGTCTCACGACCCTCTGTTGCTGATCAACAGCCATCCAGCAGCCACCGCCGGTCAGGAAGGAGAGGAACGAGAAGCCAGTGACTACGAGAGGTTCTCTTGGCGCGGCAGCTTCGAGTCCACTCTGATGGCCGCCGACTCGAGGACGAAACTGAGCTTGTTAGCGTGTTCCGGTGATGTCAGTGGTGGTGGTAGTGTCAGTGCGAGTGCGAGTGCGAGTGCCCTGGCCGCGAAGCGGCGTAGCGCCGGCGACTTGCTGTTCAATCCGAAGAGCTTCTCGAGGGAGCAATTGGACAGGGTGAGGAGTTGCGGTTCGATCGGTGGCGGAAGCGGAGCCGGGACTGGCGGAGCCGGCGGCGGCTCCGTCGAGGAAAGGATCTGGAGCAACAGGAGAAGGTCTTCCGTTCCCGATGCTAACACCAGAGGAGAGTCAGGTGAGTCCGAGCGTGGCTATTTCTGCGTATATGTGAATGAATGGATGCGATGTGCGCTTCTCCACGCGGAGTGATCTGCCACGGATCGTATTACATCGCGGAAACGGCGGTAATTGGCGTTACAGCTCGATTTTGCCTCGCCGACTCAAGGCAATCCCGCGGGTTGTTCGAGCGTTCCTTTTCCGCAATTACGCTATGGTGCGGACTGTACACGTTACAGCCAGATCGGTCCCGATAATGGAGTTGTATTTTATATGGAATGAATAGAGTGAACGCGCACGCAGCGCCAGGCCTAATGTAATTGTACTTATATTGATAAATTAAGTCGGAATTAGGAAGCGTGAAAGCAACTCTGCGCCTTGTTTGTGTGTTTTACGCCGCACGCGATTCCAATTCTGTTTTACTTGATTCTACAACAAGCAAGAACAACATTTGTTGATTATAAATAGTGAAATTATAGAGATTAAAAAGATTAATGAAGATAAAATAATAAATAAAATACACAAGGCAATGCATAAGATAAAATAATGAAAATACTAATTATATCTTTTGCATATCTCACGAGTTGTTCACAAAATTACGCGTATTTGATCGAGTATCAAAACAATCCTAAACGAAAGAGAAGAATTTCACCGTAAAAACTCATTTAATTGAATCGTTGAGATCTGTAATAATTTTTCATACGCATATAAGAACGAGAACAAAACTTGCTCGACGTCTGTAATAGTATTCTTTTCACTGAATCATTTTTCTCTGATTCTCTCATCACAATTATCAATGAGAATGACGTCTCGTGAATGCATAACACTTATGAATAATTTCCATGCACGTTGATACACGATCATCACGTACATCGCATACAAATGCCAATAAATATTTACAGCATACTACACGAAATAAAACGGCAATTGCATACAGCTCGTATCTAAATTCCAGCCGTAATACAATCATGCAAATTGCTTAGAAGCCGTTCATCTTTCACGTTATCAAATGATATTGCTTATCGCGCTTTCAAGTGCGCCGACATCGTCAACATTATTCGATAAGAGAACGACTGTTGATAATCGTGCAGGTGCATCAGCCGGCGACGAGGATACCGAGGACGAATTGGAATACGGTGGAGAATCACGAGCGACGACTCTACCACGTGGCATGCAATCCGCCATCAGCGCGGCTACCAATTCTCTGCCGCGGCTACCTGCGCCGAGCGTGCAGACCGGCCTGACGACGACGTCGTCGTCGTCGTCCTCATCGTCGTCGTCGTCGGCGGCGGCGGTGGCGGCGACGTCAACCTCGTCGCCGATGCACAAGGCGCACAGCGTCTACCACTTCCTGCCGCAGCACAGCGGCGTCAAGTCCGCTCGATATCGGCCACCTGGCTTCGCCAGGAACAGCAACATCGGACCCGGCGCGATCGGCAGTGGACCTAAACGCGCCGTAAGTGCGCCGGGCCTGCAAGTTTCCGGCTCGCAATCGGCTACCAGCAAGCGAGACAATTCCAGGTCGAGGAGGCAACAGGCGATGTCGCTCACGTCAGGTAGGTCGCAAACATCTTTCTTTAAACGGTCGTGTACAGATTGTTCCAAAAGTCACGTCCCAATTGTAGATTTCTTAATAAACGTTGACTATTTCTCATTACATTTTTAATTCAGTGTTTGTATATTAATGTCTTAGCAATCTTCTAGGTTTTTAATTTAAAAAGGATAAACACGTAAGGAGAAAATGTGATTTTATGAATGGAGCTCTTGCAGACCCTTGTATTTTACTGTTTACTTGGATTAATACTTAAATAACTAAAATTGCAATTGAATAATAATTGCAATTTCTATGAACTCTTTCCCGTGAAACTTTGGAAAAAGGGTCTCGAAACCGAATGGAGAATCTGCAATGTTATAATGAGAGAAAGTGTGCGACTTTTGGTACATTCTTATAATTATCGAAGGTTCTTTAAGTCTCATTATATATACAATAGTGCAATGATATGATTATTATTTCATTATGTGTAACACTTTACGAAATTATTAATTGCGTCTTTCTTAATGTACGAAATTCAAAAAGGACGGAGAACATATCTCTCACGTTTGAATCTGTAGGCTAAGTTTTGAGAGACAAGGAGAAAGCGTGTGGATGAAAGGAAATTCGGTCGGCGTGTGATTCCCGCGTGATAAATTAGACCGCCGCGTAGTCACGCACACGTGGCGCGCACCATGCAAATGATTAAGTGCAAATATGAAATTATAGCGAGCGTAATTCATCGTAAAGAAGAACGAACGGCAAAAGAGAAACCGTTCTTAGATATCTTCGTAGACGGAGAACGTAAAACGGCAAATTCGCGGAGACTCCAAACGCGTAACTCCTGAGTAATCTTAATTCTTATCTTGTCTGAATTTAAATGAGTGACGTCTCTTTCAGAAAAAATTTCTGTTTCGGTTATAAAGATGAAATTTTACGATGCTCAAAATTTATTGTAGCAAAAATATGTCTGACTGAAAAGTTTAAAAAGGAATTGTTACTTCAAAAATATACTGTTGAACGTGACCTAAAGGTGACACAGAGAAAAAAGAGAGAGGGGGGGGAGAGAAAACGTGCTGTATACTTATATGTTTTACATGTGCGAAAGCAAACGTGATTTTTATCTGTAAACTTGAGCAATCCGAATAATGGCAAATTCTTTTGTCGTCTTCTCTGAAGGCGTAAACGCTGCGAAAAGCGGCACAACGTTGCGAAAGTGTGTTACTCATCGCGTGAAAAAAATTTCGATGCAATAACAATTCTGAGCTAACTCTCCGACACCTCCTTACACCTTCGTTACATTTACCTTTTCTCTGACATAAATTCAATTAATTCAATTATGATTATGTCATGATTATCCATTGCGTCATGCGCCGTAAAGTTTCATTTTCTGGACATCGAAGTGTTTTCCTGGCTAGTACTTGACTATAAAACACGATCATGACACGCAACCTTTACAAGAAAGTACCTTTTATCCTTCCGCCAATAGTGTTATATATATCTCTCTCTCGTGAAAAAAAAGAAGAGAACAGAAGGCAGATTTTCATAACACGTTAGAGAAAATTATGCATCGAAGATACAAAATTATAAAATCGATAAATGGCTAATAGGAAAATTTTTACAGTAAATAAATTTTAAATACAATAAATTTGTCGAGAGACCGGGAAATTCGAATTAGTTTGGAACTACTCATGTTTCCAGAATTACAGTCGAAATTCGCGCTTTAATTATTACAGTTATTATAGTATGCAGCAGGTTGAATAAAAACATACTTTTAAATGCGGCTAAAAATAAAACAATAACGTAGGAAGTTTATACCACAATAAAAATGAGCTACGATTTTACACGAAAGCACACTCTATATTTTTTAATATAAAAATTCTTCGAGTTGGTTGCACGAACGAATATTAATCGCGGGTAATTTTCACCTGAATTGCTTTTACCTGTGCTTTTGTGTCCATTCATTTCTTCCATAATTGTTTCTAGTATTGGACGAAAATCCCCTATTATGAGATAGGATCTTAATATGGGATAGCGGTGTTTCTGTTAAATTAATAGGCGTCATCAGTTGATACCGCCATGAATTTACTTATTGGCGCGAAGTTCAGTGGAACATTCATTGTTAAATTGTGTAATCGTTGCGAAAAAAGATTTGTGATCGAATTTGGGCGTTGAAAACCTGCTGTGTCACGTATTAGAAACCTATCTCGTAATAGGGGACTTTGCTGTACAATATGTTTGAAAATATGCGCCTATACGTTTCTCCGGAAATCAGCGATCAGAGAGAGAAGGCCTCTTCTGAAGGCAGATAATTCCCCTGGACTCGCGTCTTCCCGCTGCTGAAGTGCGGAAGCACTCGCCACCGTTTCTTTTTCCTTCGCAAAAGCCGGAAAAACGCGTGCGCCGTTCATTTCTGCGGCGAGGAACGTGCGTTTTTATTGCGCGACAAGTAGAACGTCGCGCACATTGATAATGCGGCGCGTTCGTTCAGGTGCTCGCTCGTGTGTAACAGGTGCAACTGCTTTATTACGAGGTTTCCCTTCTTTTTCCCCGACATCCCTGCCGAGCGCCACGCAACTCCCGCGTGACAATCGATAATGCCACGCAGGGGCCACTCCTCGCCCTCTGCACGCACCTCCCTGCGTGCGCGTATTGTTGAACCTTTCTCCCTGTTACTCTCCCAACACGACGTCGTAAAAGTAACATTCGCGCAAGCAACATCGCAAGTAACATCGCAAGTTCGCTCATTCTGTAACGCTTTGGCTTAATTTCCCTCAATTTTCACTTTATTTGCAGAATTTACCCGTGGCATATATTTTCGTGAGTATTTCTGCACGTGTACAAATCGGACGAAACGGTCCGAGTGCTTTCGTGCACCACTATGTGTTTAGCCGGTTTATCGATCAGCAAATATATCGCAACGTTTACGGAGCATTAACCCAGTCTACTTCTGAATGTGAATGTCTCTCGATAATAATCTAGCCCGCGTTTTCCCCGTCTATGTAACGAGTTATCGTAGCTGAAAAGGCAGTAGTTCGAGAGAACCAGTTATAACTTTTAGATTACGTTGAAAACGTTCCTTGTTTCGATTCCTCTTGCTAAAAAAAATGTTATGCTCTTACGGCAAAAATCTCTTTCTTTTAATACATTTAGTTCTAAGTTTTTCAATCTAAACATACACATTTACAGCTACAATCATTGTATTATATCTTTAGCACAATTAATATCACGACGAACGAAAGTTTTGTATTAATTCTCAAAACATTAATTACTTTTAAATTGGATATTATACAATATTTTATAACATTGTATACAAGTATTTATTATATACTTTTATTTAAAGCTACAACAAATAATGTTGCTTTGAAAACAATTTTTTCTGTCAGTATTGATTGTTATTGCTTCAAGCCAGCAATTATCTATATTAATCGTATTAGATTAACTTCACTCCGGTAAAAACCAAGTTTTTACTGCTCATGGATAGTATCTAATGAAATTAAGGTCCTTGCCACTCCCGTTTTCTGCTCCCGTCTCCCGCGGATCGATAACGGAGGAAACCACCCTTTAACTCGTGGCTCGGGGATAAAATCTCCGAATCTTGTATAGAAAATTTTATCATCAAATTTAATTTCCCCCCCACGTCTGAAATTCTCTTTAATGAAATTCTTCATTGAAAGTGAATGTCGTTAGTTAAATTCTAAACTAAATATCTATTGGATAAAACTCTTCTTGTAATTAAATATTAAAATAAAATCTTACCACCTACTTACGCTCTTCACCGCTACGATCGTCCGATGGTTCCATTATTGTATAGTATTACATAGTATTACACACATCCGTTAATCGATTCGACGCTTACTGGAGCAAAGTCGAGACCGAACTCGATGAAAAATGCACTCTGATTGAATCGATTGTCGTAGGCAAATTTTTCAACATTATTTCGCGTTGGCATCTTCTTACAGATAATTTGCACAAAAGTGGATACAATTTAAGTACCTTCGCAAAGTAATTTCTCGCAGCTTTCCGATTATCTAAGATTAAGTGATTTAATTAAAATATTTCCTCTCTATCTAAGCTTTCTAAAGAAACTGTAGAAATTCCTTCCCGAATCTTAAAATCACATACGGCATCGTGACATACGCCTTTTACAACATATTCGCAGCTTTGTATGTATCACACGTTTGCGACTTCCGAGCCGCGAAACTCCGCACTCGTTCGACATAGACTCGTTCATCCTTTTTTGCTCGTTAGAGATCGGTCGGCGACAGGTTTACGTTCGACATTGCAATGCTGCATGCTGTGTTCACCAACGATCATTGTTACCAGATCGGGAGAGAGATTTTTCACGCGAATAAGAACTATTGCAATTCTTAATCGCCGTATTTTGTGCCGCGATCGCGGCGCAGGATATTCGAATTATTTCGTTTCCTTCGTATGGCAAAGCTCTCTAACAGCAAACGTGTACAGGGTGTCTAAGAATTAGGTCACATAATAACAAAACGTAGTTTAACCCAGGAACGCCTGATTAAAACACCACTCGTATAAAGTAACTTCTTTATGTTTCTTGAAAACTTTGCTTCTGCGTTACTGCACTGAGAGACCCATTTTGTTGAATGAAACAAAATTTAGTTGACTCAACTGAATATCTTGTTTGGATATGGGCAAACAAATCTTTCAGTTGACACAACAACAAAATTTAGCTGGAAAATTTGGTTATATCAATCTGGTTGAGTGAACATGCGCAGAATCCTTTTATAATATTCACCTAAACGATTTAGTTCGCGCAACAAACACAATTATTTAAGGCGTGCTGAGATGGACGAATTTTGTTATCTCAACTATAAAATTTTGTTCAAATAAACTACTCGCGGAAATAGTTGTAACATTTAGCTTCTTTTCAGCAACATATTTTTCGTTTTACACAACCAAATTACATGTTCAGTCAGCAAAATGATTCGATCAAATGAGTCTCTCAGTGTGGAGTACCTGAAATGTAAAAGGAAATTCTCCCGAAAGCCGGGATTC